CACAAAGTTCAGCTACTGTGATAGATACACAAATGCACATGATTTGGCTTTAATTAATGCATCTATTAAAAGGAAAATGATGGAGAGATACCACTTGTACAAGTATATTTTAAAAGAAAAGTCTTTCTGGACCCCAAATTACTCTAATATTATGAGTATAAATATATTTACACTTCATTTTTAGGGTTTTTCCTCCCCATATATTAAATTTTATAGAATTTTAAACAAAGCCTTAAAAATCATTTTGTGTTTTTCATTACACCTTAGGAAAGATGATAAGTAATGTTGACATTTTATTCTGAAGAAGTTACACTGGCTTTATATTTAAGATAAAAATCATAAAATGTGTTGTCATGCTAAGTGACAAGACATTTAAAGTGTTGCTGACAAAAATAAACTAGAAGATGAAGTGTGTATAGAAAGGTTAAGAGAAATAAATAGAAAAACATCTACTTTGCTAAATAGTATAAGAGGCTAACTATTTTGTACAGAACTAGGATTAATTTAGATGTGAACCTAGAATACAGGAGTTTCCTGAGTAAATTTTTATATGTTAAATATTTTAACTATTGCCCTGGCTGGTGTGGCTCAGTTGGTTGGAGCGTCATCCTGTAATAACGAAGGCTGCAGGTTTGACTCTCATTCAGAACACAGAACACTTACCTGAGTTGCGGGTTTGATCCAGTAGACAACCAGTTGATGTTTCTCTCTCCCTTCCTGTGGCTCTCTAAAAACTGATGAAAAAATGTCCTTGAGTGAGGATAAAAAATTAATTAAAAATATTATAATTATTGTAACATCAACATCAGATACACCTCTCTGAATGCCAACTAAATCTTATTGAAGTAGAACTCTTTCTTATAAAATAAAATTTTTCAATCACTTATTTACTTGTAAAAGAGTTATGAAGCAAAACTTTGTGTTAATATACTAGTTAAGATACTACTAGATGCTGTAATAAACAAATGCCATCATTTCACATTTTCAAACAATTTGTACCTGTACAACAGATTCATATGGGTGTTCCTGCTTAGATGGGTAGATTTCCTTCACGTGGTGATTCAGGGCTCTAGTTTTTCATTTTAGGTCTCTCTCATTTCCTAGAACATTGGACTACTATGCATTTGGCTCACAGATGAGTTAAGAAGTCATGTCTATATCTTAATCATCTTTTCCCAAAGTGACACCAGTTCTCTTCATATTCCATTTGATAGAACTATGACCCCACTTAGAGGCAAGGGGAGCTAGATAATGTGGTCCTCGGCTGACTACGTGCTTCCTAGCACCAGTTCTATACTAGTGGAAACATGAATCCTAATGCAGTTGGGTGACTTGCTATAGTTCACTCCTGTAGCCAGGGAAAACGACAATTGTTTTACCCTTTCTCCCCCTAGTTATGCACAGAACACATCTGTTTCAATTCAGGGGAAAGAACACAAAGTCTTATTCTGTCCTTATATCTGGTCCAAAGTACAACATCTCCATCAGGTCTAGCTGTGGTTCTTTGCTGCCCATTGACCTATTCACTGAAGTTCAAGTTAACTGTCCACTGTTTCACCTCCCTTCTTCACCCACTCTGGAACAAATCCAATACACAGCAGTGGAGCAGTGGCAGGAGAATGATGGTGAACTTTCCCATTTCAATAATGTTGAAGTGGGAAATGCATACGAATAACTGTCCAATGACATAAATGAAACCCAGTCATGGCAGGCACTGTCAAGATACCATGTGTGTCAATGTTATACCCTTATTAGGCATCTGAAAAGAACTCCTTTGTCCTTTGTTCTCCCTGCCCCTTCTGGCTACCTACATTGAGAGCTTCTTCCTTGACATACAAGGGGGAACCCCTCCCAAACGGAATTATCTTCTGGAGCATGGGCCCCTTGCAGTGCAGGCTTTCCCCACTAGGTGCTAGGTGAGTGTTCTAGGAACCCATCTGTATCAGTGTACCAGCTGGCGTTGTTGTGAGAGACTGTATTTGGCTTCAGTAAATTTTTTGGAAGACTCAGTGTGTTTGCCTATCTCATGATAGGTGATTTACAAGTGCATCTGTCCACAGAGCTCTGAGTGTTCAACAGTTTTTGACAAAAAACAGTGTAACCCCATGCCCCAGTCTTCCTATTCACCCAGACTCTCTTTGAATGACTTTGTTTTGTTTGTTTCCCTGTGTGAAAAAGTTCTCAAAAGTAAATGTTTTGTAGATGTGGGAGAGGTGAAACAAAAAACAGAAGTACTAAAAGCCATTAATATTGATGAGTTCAAAAACTGTTTTGAGCAGTGGAAAAGCATCTCAATAGGTATATTGCAACAAATGGAGACTTACCTTGAAGGTGACTGAAGTTTGAACATATAAGAATTAATACACAATTTTTAACATTTGTTCTTAAGATTTTTAAATTTATTTTTAGAGGGGGGAGGGGAGGAGAGAGAGAGAAAGACAAGCATCAATGTGCGCTTGCTTCTCACGTGCCCCCCTACTGGGGACCTGGCCTGCAACCCTGGCATATGCCCTGACTGGAACTGAACTGAGGACCCTTTGGTTCATAGGCTCATGCTCAATCCACTGAGCTGCACCAGCCAGGGCTCAATACACAATTTTTAATAAAGAAATTCCAGGTTTTTTAGGTCCCCCCTTGTGTTGTCATTCATGGCTAAATCATGTAAAAGAATATGACCGCTTTCTGCTTATGCAATTTGGGAACCTGGAAGCTCTTTTATAGGCCATTTTTGAGGCTAAGTTCAGGGTTTATTTGCCAGTACAGTTCCTTTGAAACAACATATTTAGAAACAATAGAAATTTTATATATGTATGTGTGTGTGTGTGTGTGTGTGTGTGTGTAAAGAATTCGTGTCTATGAGCCTCCCTTTGTTATGTGTGTCAGTGTTCACAAGTTTATTAGTAGAGTCCAGCAAAACAGACACAAACCCAGGTCTTTCAAATGCAGGAAATTTAACACAGAAATTAGCTACACAGGTGACAGAACAGAGAAGCCAAACAAATGATGGTGAATAAACCCAGAAACTAATGAAATCAGAAAACTGCTGCATACCCTGGAGAGAGAAGGGCAATAGGAAGAAGTGATATTACCAGATATTATCCGAGCTCTTGGCCCTGATAAGACAAGATGATGAGCTCTTTGAGGGATCTGAGCCATTTATATTTTTCACCTTTGTGTGTCCCCACGTAGTGAGCACTCAGATGTTTTACTTCAGCAGAGATAAGCAGTAAATCCTCCCGCTGACTTCATTTAGAAGTGCCTATCAGAGAACTGAACTGTGACAGAAATGATGGTGCTCAATCCAGGGCTATCCTTAATTTGTAGATCAGCTGAAGTTAGCTATTTGGGGACCTTATTTAGTTAACCCATCATTGGCATTTAGAGAATGAGAAAGTCAGAACTTTTAATTTAAATGTTTCCATCCTCTAAAAGACATTTAGAGTTTGAAACAAAACCAACTTTTATATAAACATAGAAGGGAGAATTACAAAGGAATAAAGTCTGTAGGTGGCATATGCCAAAATACATTTTTTAAAAAGTGTGCTTTAGGGACAGAAAAAGAGAAGAGGCTTTTCAGAATTGCTGGGGAAGAGGTAGCTTATAGCTACACAGGATATGTATCAGTCTTCGATTTTTTTCGGAATCACTTTTTCTACATTGATAATGACTTTCCTTTGGCTAATGGTTTGAGAAAAAATTATCAACTTATTTTCATTTACTATCACTTAAGAAGGAACCTGTAAAATATTTCATTGGGTATTTTAGCAGTCAAAAAGAACTTATTCTAGAATATGATCATAAATTTTGAAAACATCACAAATGCCATTTAATCTGTTCGTTGATGTGCCTGTATATGTTTCTGGGTACAGAAATGCTAGATTCAATTTAGCTGTGGCTTTTAGAATAGTCCTGAGAAAAGTCTCAAAATAGTAAGTACATCTAACAACTTGGAAGTTGAGAATAGTTTGAGAAGGTTTTTTTTTACTATGTTGCCTTTCCTAGAGAGAAAAAGGGCCTTGCTTGGAGATTTCTACATGGAAATGAAGACTTTTTTTTGGCAGAGCACATTAAATTCATTTGTCTTGTTGTGCTTTAAAACCATTTTGGCATACCTGAGCATGTTGTAATTCTTCCATTTACATAGAAATTTCAGGTTTATTTACTTTTCCCATCAGTTTAAAATAAGAATTATTTATAATACAATACACTGCATTTCATATCTTTATTTTATCCTTCACATATAGTATTCCCATTTTTAAATATTCATTAAGGCTTTGACATTGGATGTGTCTAAATAGTGTCAAGGCTGACTAAAAGGGGTGTACAATATACTGTTTAATTTATTTGGCACCTAATATCTGAAAAGTCAGCTTTTCTTTCCTGTGTTGATAAATAATCATTTGGCAATTTGGCAATTTTATTAAAATAATGCTTTGTTTTAGCCTTCATAACATCATCTTTATAGTTTTACAGACATGTAGTCATGAGGCAGATTTCTTCTTTGGTATTGATGTGGAGCAGAAAATGTGCTACGATCTCAACCTTTTCCATCTGTAATTGAGTTGATTTTCTTTAATACTGTTGCAGAGTGAAAATATTAACACAAGAGTGTATTTTTGCTGCTGAAAATAATTGCTTTGCTATTTAAGCATGCTGTCTGTAATTTCAACGGATATTTATTTCTGAACTTTGCCATGAGGAGTTTAAAGTATTCTTGAAATTGTAGTTGTCTATTAAGTATTTTTCAGCTGTCAGTTCAACTGTACTCACTGTGCCATTAATTCATTATGAAGTGACACAGGAAGAAAATTTATGTGATAATATGAAACATATTTGTCAAAAAATAAATTCGATCCGTATTGAAAGCCTTCTGCTGCAGTGGGAGCGGGGTGCTTCCTTGGACACCATCTCTTCAAACAGGAAAACACCTGGGGAAATTTAGTTCCAGTCCTCAGACATTTGTGTTGTGCACTTAGATGTTTTCTCTGTGTCTCCCACAGGTGATATTATATCCAACTTCTAATAGCTCCAAGTCAGCCGATTTGCATCGAATGATAGTTCCAAAAAATAGCCAGGATTCTGACTTAAAAATCAAGTTGGCAGTGCGAATGGATAAACCACCACATATGAAACATAGTGGGTGAGTGTCTAATTGAAGATGTTTTTCTGTTGAGTTATTGCATTTTATTTCAGTGAATTACTTTTGTCAATTTACTGAAAGGCTTTCACATGGAGTGCCCCCCCCAAATGACATTCATACATTAACTTCATTTTTTAAACCTGTAGACATCTTTATAGCTATATGTGGCCATTTAGTTAGTATAACTAACTATATATGGTCATTTAGTTAGTATAACTGTTTACATGCTAACATACTGTTGGCACTTGATTGCATCGGTACTACACATCACTTATATTGATAAAGAATAGTGATATGTGGAGATTAAGTAATATTTTTCAAAATATATTAATAGTTGAAATAAGCCTAGCATTCAGGTCCCCAGGAATAGTTAAATTACCTAGAATGTATTAAGTTTACAAGATGGTTTGAATATAACCCAGGCAATCGTGTAAGTTTTCATAGCAGAGTTGTGAGTGTTCATCCAGTGAGGGATTGAAAAATTCAATCAGTGCTGGAGGGAAGTGAGCTGGCAGGTTCGCCGGAAGTGCAGGCACTGGCTCCGGGGGATTGCTGTGGGGCAGAGTCATCTCCACCAAGACCTTTTTCCCTTGTTGCTGGTGAGGTAACAGGTCTGAACTCGTAAGTACAGTAAAATGAATTGTTTTTAAAAATGCAGGTTTCTCAGATTAACGCTTTAGGACTCACTACAGCCATATCCCAGCACAGGGGTGTTACCCACTAGGAAGGAATGTGACCATTTTTCTTAGTATGAAGAGAAGCAGTTGCTAAAGTGGCTTACCCTAAATTTACTAACAAAAATAGGAATCAAAGAATGTGCTTTCCTGTAGAGTCTGCAGGTTTGGGACCCAGATTGCCAGCGTTGTGGCAGAATTAAGCGATGAGTCCACAAGATAAGGGTTCTTTGGATGACTGTAAGGAAAGCGAAGCGGGGCTCTGAGCCGAGGGCAGCCCACATGAGTATATGACTGTGAGGATGGGACTGAGAATTGCACTTCTCCTGTGGTTAGGGCGGACTGTGTGTGCAGAATCAGACCTAATCTCACCAAAGGAAACAGTCATTTTGGAAGCCCACGTTCTGGCATCTTTAATGTAGTCATGTAGAGTAAAGACTGACTCAGCTCATAATTCAGTTGGAATTCCTGGGATTTAAAATTTAGAATTCTTTTTTTCATTCATCCGTCTACCTGCTCACCACTGATTTATGCTGCAGACATTATTGAGCACTTACTTTGCTGAAACCAGACAGACCTCAGTGAGATGCCACACCAGGCCTAAAGGGACTGGCTAGTCAGGGATTTGAGCTTGGATACAAATAATTATAACACTGAGCCACAAGTGCTAAAAAGGAAGAATATGGACTGGGAGAAATAACACATGATTCCAGCTGGAGTTTAGTCATGAAAATTTCACAAGACAGCTGACTTTCAAGATGAAATCTGAAGTATTAATTCAGCAGGTGGGCAGTGGGGAAGAAGGGCATGCTAGTCACCTGGCAGAGTATGTGCTTTGGCAGGAGTCCTGGATGACAGTGACTGGTTTGGTGCAACTTTTAGACCAGAGAGTCTTGAGTACTGATGTTCCAAAGTGATCAGAGACTAGTAGAGACTATACTCCCTAGAGTTAGACATATAGAAACATGGTGTTTCAGCCACTACAGTTACATCTGCCCTGGTTTTAACTTAGTTTTTTTGTTTTAATGCATGGCACAACAAAAAAAGGGAACTTATGTGTTATAACACCAAGATACCCCTTAATTTATGCATGGCCAGTACCAGAGTGAATAACCCCTGGAACCTTCAGGTCGTCCCAAGAACCAAGACTGAATGTGAAGTTGGGCACATGGCAAGTTTTGCAGCCTTTGGCCTCTGTGGAAAGAAAGCCTTGCTGTGATCCTGGCAATTTCTTGCTTAGAATGAATGATCCGGGGAAGGTGGGAAAATCCAGCCCCCTTTCAAGACTTGATTTTTGTTTGTTTTTTATTTTTATTGTTTTTAAAATCACTTCTGTGCACTAAAGGAGAATTCATTTATATCACATATCAGTGCTCTTTGACAAATTCAGAACCCCCAGAGTGGCTCTGGAGTTGACATCTGGTGAAGATGAGGGGGATTACCAAGGAGCATATATCACAGTCTCTCAATTTAATCTATAAAGTTCAAGATCTCACCATAGATTCCAATCAGGAGTGATTCGGGTCTCAGCTACATCAACTGTTATCTACCATTGCTAAAAGATACTAGCACGCATCTTCAGACATTCAGGTATCTCTGAAGTTTATGGTGTATAAAAGGAAGAAATTCTAGAGTAGAAAATATCTCTGATTTCAATTTTAGGATTGAAAATATCTAGAGTTGGCTTGTGATGTAGTATAATTAAGAATAGTGTAATAGTTTATAATAATAGTCATTCAAAAAATTAATTAATACCAGTATTGGACATAATAATGATGAGCCAGAATTAAAAGCTTTCAACATTGCTGGGACAGCGGCACGTCCCCGGGGGAGGGGACGGCACAGGTGCTGTCCCCAAGCCCAGTCCGGGCTTCTGGGTGCCAACGTGGTAAGTTTTAAATATTTTAGTATCACCCATATGCATATTTGTATGTGAGAAAACATAATTTGACCTCCATCGTAACTATATCCATCTTTTTCTGAGGTGCTTCATAAATGGATTTTACTGAACTTAATTACATTTAAGAAAACGTCAGCTCACCATTTCTCTCCCCAAGTGCTCTATCTGTCATATGCCAAAGCAATAATTTAATAGGAGCACACAGTAGATTAATAGCATTTTCCTTTCGGGCTGGATTGTGTTCTGTCAATAATTCATCTTGTAATGAATAATGAACAGATGAAGAATGAATAATTGAAAAAGAGACACGTCAAGTTAAAAAAGATTAATATATCTTTAAAATATAGCACTCCTTCCACATAGAGTTGACAAGTAAACTAAACAGTAAATTGGAAGGTTATACATTTTATCTTCAGAGCATTTTCAGAAATTGACTTTGAAATCCTTTTAGATTTTAGTCATAAGCCTAATTTCTGTTTTAATAATGGGGACATGTATATGTTTATGTGAACTACTTTGGTACATATTCTCTGTTTTATTGATTTATCACATAAGGGGCTCTGTACTGTACCTAAATAAATTTTCTACCAATGCTATGTATATTTTCATATGTGTTCCCAACTCGACTGTGAGTTTCTCAGATCTGCTTGAACCCCCACCTCCCGGACTGCACAGTCAGGGGGAGATGTAAATAATAATGATGAAAATGACAGTGGTGTGCTCCTTAGACTTTTAAGGGAAAAGTAGTAATAATGAGAGTAAACTGTGTTTATGAATTTAAACTAAAAGGGTCTTAAACACAATTTATAGGATGTAGAATATAATTTTAATATGAAAAATGCCTAAGATAGATGAAATGCATGATGTCTGGTTCTTAACTATTGCATTTAAAATGACCTTTTTTGAAGCAGAAAGAAAAATATCTGATTTAAAGCTCACGTTTTTGATAATTAATCAATCCATCACTGTATATATTAGTTTTTAAAAACAGAATTGACTACATGCAAATGAAAATATCTATTTAATTTGGATAAAATAAACATAATGATAAGTTCATTCTTTTAAAAACAAATTGGATATTACCATCAGACATATTTGGTAAAAAATATTCACTGCAACTCACAGTTATTAACAACCACACCTAAAACGAAAGCAAACTAAAAGGACAGCTAGAGCAGGAGTGGAAACATAGAAATGAAGATCTCAAGGAGGGTTAGCAACAGGGGAGTGGGAGGAGGAGATGGGGGGAGAAGGTACAGAAAACAAGTAGCATAGACAGTAGATAGAAAATAGATGGGGGGGGCGAGAATAGTTTGGGAAATATAGAACCTAAAGGACTTGAGACACATGGACATAAACTAAAGGGGGGTAATGGTGGGGTTGGGGGGGCAGGGTGGAGGGGAATGAAGGGGGAATAGAACAACTGTAACAGCATAATCAATTCAAAAAAATAAATTAATTTAAAAAAAATTCACTGCATTTATTCTTTTGGAGTATGTCATATAAGTAATTATGCAAACAAACTCATATAAATCTGTTAAATGAATTACCAGTTAGATTTTGAATGGCTGAATAATTCATATTCAGCTTTTGAATTTATTTGTCTGCTTTTCTGAGTAGCTGGAAAACAGCCTTGTTCTTGAACAAATGGACTATCCTTTAGCATAACCTAGTGGCTAAGTAAAAGTATTAACTTAAGTCTCAGAAATACTATCCCCATTTTATTAAGTAACATTTTCCTAACTCAAATGATATTTTCTCAACAAAAAGAAAGGCAGAATAAAATAGAAATAATAAAACAAATGACTGTGACAACAAATAAGTCTACAGTTGAAAAGGAGAAAGAAGAACATTAAATTTGCCACCACAAACATACTGGTTGAAGTCATTTTGACCAGGACCCATCGGAAGTCTTCAGGCAACTGGTTATTTTGCAGAGAAAACCAAATGAGAACTTTGTAAATATATAACTGTAGAAGAGTTTTGTCACAGTTAAGAATCGGTAAGGTAAAATTGTAGTTATATCACTGTCATATAAATCTTATATTTCTTTTTGTGTGGAGTCATACTTGGCTATTAAAACAGGTGTTGAATAGATAGAAGTGTTGAGATATTTTGAAATCGTCAAATATATGAATATTTTTGAAGTGTCCGTTTACATTATAAAGGTATACAAGGCACTGGGCCCACCTCACACTGCAGGGGGCGCCAACAGCTCAGCCCCTAGCAGGAGGAATAGGATGCATACCAAGTTGGCTACATTTTTCCCCTGCTCTCCCATAGAGAGGGCCCCCAGGCGTTCCAGTGCTGGGCTGTTGTGCAACTTTTAGTCACATACTTAGAATTCAGATAAAGCATTTGCTGTCAGAGTGGAATGACTGCACTCTAATAAAGTTGCACTGTTTTATTTCTGATGTAAGGTTTCT